ATTTCTCAGAAAAATTGATTCACTTAAATGGCCACGAGTCTCAACTCTTAGTAGAGATAGCTCACCTCTGAAATGGTGGAAGAATGAGATTCAGAATACACAAAAATAGTTTAGATGCCATTACCTGTAAAATGTTTGACTGCAAAAAGTAGAATGCATTTGAAGTAGAAACATGCTCTGTACTGAATACTCTGAAGTCTTAGCTGTATATGCTCAGCACCAGTGCTAAGAAAGTGCCCTGTTGAACCTCTGATGTGTTTGATCTTGAATATACACACATTTCTGTGCTATTGTCTTCTTTTCCTAGCAATTCATCTTAACAGAAAAGATATACCTACAGAAGTGAAGCACCAAAACACTACATCTCTATTTCTCTTTGTACCATGCTATCAATATTCTTGCAGTGTAGTTTCTGGTGCATGCATTAAGTTTTAATTAGCATTCCCTGAAATTAGCATGCCTGAAAAAGGCATTTGTTTTTTTAGGAATCCAGGTTTCCATAACATTTATTGTTTGTTCATTCGTTTGTTTCCTTCCCCAGCTTTCACCTCAGAGTTTGACCAGCTGATTTAATTTGCCTAATTTTAAAAGATAATGTAACAACTGAAAGCAAATAAACTGAGGTTAAATTGAATCAACTCATTCAAGAATATGCCTTAATATGATTTAAATTTATGCAGACTAATGAATACAAAATTAGGTAAGGCTCAAGTAAAGCACTCCGCAGTGCCTTCTTGACCAGGGACTGCCACCTCCTGACCCCAGTGCTGCGCCCTGCACCGAGCTGCTGCTGCTGCTCCCATCCCGCTGCGGCGGCCACCGAGCGCTGCTCCTGCACCCAGATTGGGGGCTGCCACTTATTTCTCCCTGCAACCGCACCAGTTCCCAGGCCAGCAAGTGGCAGCAGTGATTCCTTTGGGTACCTACGTGCAACTAAAGCTGCATATGTCTACTGCAGAGCTGATCTTACTGACCGCCCAGGCTATGCAGAGTACACGCTGCTGTCTGAAGAGATATCGGATGGCAAAAAATACGTGAGATCACTTTTAGACATTGTGGCTTTTTAGTCTGCCGCATATCACTTTATTTGCCATCATTTCCCTACTGTATATATTTAATCTTTAAAAGTATGGGGGTTTTTTTAATCATTTAAAAGACATTTAGTGCTGTTATACACTGTACAAAATTACACATGTCATTTTGCTGGGTAAATAATATAACATAAATACAGCCTACAAGCACATCTCCACGACTTAAGAGTAGTCTCGTCCTGCAGATACAAAGGAGTAAAAGAAGTCTGACCTCTAGTGAACCCAAGCGCTTACACCACTTCTGCGAGAGGCAATCTTAAGTTATTCTCACCCTCTGGAAAACTTTATTCATAGCTCTGAAATGAAGATACATTTTTGTTACAATATAACCCCGAGTGAAAATGAGGACAACAAAAGGATAAATATTATAATCCTAATTACTACAGAATTTTGAAGTGACTGGAGACATTAACATTACAGAAGCATCTGAATAAGGAAAAAAGCTGTGGCTTCCGACTACTACATTGTACTTCTGAATCCACTCTGCCTTCTTTTCATTTTTATTGAATAAAATAATGTCATTATCTATACTTAAAATATATCAAATATTGAACCCCATCTACTGAGAGATTTCTGAGGTATTTCAGGGTCTGCTTATATGATGAACTTCTTGAGTAGAAGTACGTACCTGCAGAAACCTGCAGTTTCTCCTCGATACCCATTGGACATTAGAATTAAGGTATAATAAGAGAGGCATATCTATTGCCTTCAAAATTCCCTTGAATAAAAGAAGCATTACAAGAAAACATGACAATTGAAAGGGACATACGCAATAAATAGCAGCACTCACAGGGATTCCCACAAGCAGCGTTTCAACAATGGAACTGGATGGCTAACTTGAGGCACTTTCCTGCAAAGCTCCTTCAGGCGACTATCGCTTAAAAATTCACAATTCCATGCCTAGAAAGAGTAATCGCAAACTAGCTCCTTGAGGAGAGCAGCCTAAAATAGTCTGAACAATGAGGCAGCAGGGCAGAAAGCTACGGAAAGTTCAGTTTTCTGAAGGCTGTACAAACCACAGAATCTTTTAAATTCACATACCATCAGTGACTTTTTTTGAACTTTACAACGGACTACATTCAGAGATGTAATCACTATACATCTCACAGAATGGCTGAGGTCATCTTGTCCAACCCCCGGCTCAAGCAGGGCCACCTAAAGCCCCTTGCCCAGGACCATGTCCAGACAGCTTCTGAATATTCTCCAAGGATGGAGATTCCACCACCACCCTGGGCAACCTGTAAGCGACCTTATTCATGGAATTACCTGCTAAGAATGATTTCAGTAAAATTCTTTATGCATTTGGTTTTACGTGAGCCATTAATTACATTTCCGCTTGACAGAAGTACAGCGTCACATCCATGAAGCACACAAGCACAAGGTGTTGAACTTTGCTGCCCTGTGATCACGCTAAAACAAATCCATTATTGACAACATGTGTTTACACAAGAAGTACAACTCTGAGCAGAGCGTGCAAAGCAAACTAGATTAGTGCTTTCTTCGGCATAGCACATAGCTAATGCTGGTACAGGAAGAGGAAAATATCTATGGGCAAGATAATGAGGCATGCTTAACGAGAATACAGGCACTACAAGTACTTGAATTTACATATTCTTGACTTACATACCACCTTACATATAATCCTAGCTTATCATTCATTAGATTTGGCTAAACCACTAGGATGTATCACACATACTCTTTAATCCACATGATGATGCCTCAAGTAACTCTTTAGTTGAGCTAGCACAGATAAAATTACTTATCACTCTCCAATGCTGATTTCTGGCATCAGGTGGTATCTTGATTCAGCACATCACTTGAAACTAGCAAACATCCCCCATGAGAATCATCATGCAAAAGGCTTCAAGGTTATACATTAAAAAGACCTATTCTTAACTTGGTATTGCTGCCTCTGCTTCCTGGTCAGGGCCATACGACTTGTAATCCTTATGCTTTTTCTCCTTAAAAAGGTACCTAGCAGAGAACATAAGCACTGCTTCTTATACCTAGGGCTACAGAGAACAACTCACACAAGAGCAGAAGGAAATACAAACAGTTCAAATTGATGGCTACAAATGAGCACGCTGATTGACTGCTCTATGTATTTCTACAATCTCAAAAAGGCAAAGGCAGCAGCGTAGTAAGGAAGACCACAGAAGAGGAACACAAGTTACCAACACAATAATTATTTCAATAACTGTAACAAAGGTAGCAATTCTTTTAACCTTTACTTTAAAATGCTGGATGCTGTCAAAATGGATAGATTTTAAGGCTAACTTTGAGACTAGGAAAGATCACCCCTGAGCAAAGGGCACAAGAGATACTACAATGTGTTTGAACAGAGATAATGGCTTCTTGATCAGGGGATAAGGGTAATTTTCACAGCTCAGCATATATGAAAAAAGTAACAAAGTGACGGCTTGAATGTAAAAGCCTGGTTTGTTGGGGTTTTTTTTCCAGTTTGATTTCTGAAACACCTGAATGTATTTGCTCCTCATTTCAGTAACTGAAATTCCAGCAAGCACAGTATTGTATGTGATCATCCCTGGGGAAAAAGAAAAAACAAAACAAAACGAAACACAAAAGCCAAAACACACAACCGCCATTTTTTATTATTTATAACTGTACTTCTTGTGAGTCACACACCAATTCTGGGTTACCACAACACCTAACAATCACGCCTTCTAGCGCATCTTTTACAAAAAGAAGCCAACACACAGTAATTGTATCAGCATGAACAAGAAAAAAGAGCAAATGTCTACCCAATCCTAAACCTCGCTTTTTAAGGTGAGGCATGTAGGTACTGCAAGGGAGTAAACTTTGGCTGTTGCGTGGTTGGTGATACCAAGGAGTGAAGACTACCTGGGTAATTTTTTGGTTTGAATTCACATGTTTTCAAAGACTTCATTTCAGAAAATTATACAGTTATATTAAAAGGTCTTGTCTTTACGCAGTCCTAGCTCTACTATAAAAAATGCCCAAAGTAGCTTTAAATCCCAAACATCTAACTGCAAAACCGAAGCGTCGCAACCTCCGCGATAAGCGGCGCAGCCCGCCGTAACCCCCGAATCCTGTCTCCGGGGGCAATAAGAACACACCTTCGCCCGAAAGTCAACAGCCAGCGATCCCACCCCACAATAAGCCGTGCAATCAGTGAGCTATTAACCTTTTTTTTTTTCTTTTTGGTAAGTGTTTTTCCTCACAGTGAAGAGCACACGAGTCGCTGGAACCTGTTTCCAGAAGCTGCCGCCCCCCCCACCCCCGTCAGGTGAAGAACCCTTTCCCCCGGCCACAGCGCGGCCCCGTGAGGAGAACGCGCGGGCCACGACGATCGATTTTCTCGTTTTAAAGAGCGTAACGGCCGCGGGAACCCGAGGACGGGCGGCGGCAGCTAATTAAGCTCCGCTAAACCAATTAACGCCCCTCGCCGGGGCTCACCCCCTTCCCGCCCGCTCGCGCTCGCGCGGGCGGCCGTTGGGAGGGAGGGGGGAGGCGGCGCGCGCCCTCCCCCGCGCGCCCCGGTTCCCGCGCCGCGAACCCGCCAAACCCCGCGCCCGGCTCGAGACCCGACTTCCCCCGTCCGGCGGGGACGGCGGGGGGG